TCTGAAATGTTCAAATTCAATCATGCAATGTTTTGTGAGAGTCATATGTCTCACTACAGTGATATAGATAAAAACTTTTTAAAGGAATACAGGACTACCGTTCCAATGGAATTCTTCAAGCAAGGTAACTTAAAACAATTGGTGGAGATTGACACCACAAAGGCATTTACAGCAGCATCCATGAAAGTAAAGTCCATTCCTATTCTCAATCAGTTTGACTCATGGAAACCTTTTCACGATGGTGTTTATATTTTGTCATTGAGTGGTTTGACCCTTTACATGGTTGCAGTGTTTGAAGGGGATCTTTTTTCTACAAGAAATTTAATCTTGTTTACGGATTTTTTGACAACATGATTCAATGTGATATTAAGATAAAAATCAACTATTACTATTATAAGCCACGGTCAGTTATACACGAGGTAGACTATGGTAAATTCAGCAGTGATCTTTGGAAATCAAAAATCAGCAATGACCAAGATGAGGACAAACAAAATATTAAAACAATTGTCAATATTAATTTTGGGTTTTTGAGAAGTCCAATAACACATCACAAAGGAGTAGAATCTTCAAGGCGCTGAGGGAAGCATGTCGTTATCAAAATTCTCGGAGCTAAGGTCATTGCATTGACGCATGACATGAAGTAATACATAGATTTAGATGATGACACTTGTGATGTTAAAACTTATGCAGGGCATACATTCTACGTTCTGAATGTGTGTGATAAAACAATATTGGTTAACGGGTTTCGTTATATAAACGAAATGCTACTACAATATCAGAACTTTAAGATGTGTGACCTACAATTTACTGACTAGTAATTGTATAAACGTATATTCTATTAAGAGGTATGCTTTTACCATGTATCGGGACGACCTGAACAGGGGATTGGCAGGACACGTCATTAAACACTTAAGGGATGGCGTTCTGAAATTTGACAATCAAATAGGAAACTGAAAAGTCAGCGGTAAAATTATCAATTTTCCAAATGAACAATATCAATACAAACGGAACGACTTTATTCATGATCCTGTTCAAGAAATGTTACTCTTAATGTGATTGATGAATGGGATACTCAGACCATTTGTGAACAGATTCCGGAACGCAACCCTTGCGTGATTAGAGAAAAATTCGCTGGTTCAGGAAAATCATCGATTGGACAGCGTTTCAACAAAATGGGTAAGAATGTTTTGTTTGTTGTGCCCCATAACCAATTGAGTCAGGAAATCAAAAAAAGAGCAACAACACTTAACAAATTCTTCAGTTTTCCAATTCATAAGCAGGATAGACTACCTATTTATGACCATAGTGGGTTTGATGTCATTGCTTTTGATGAAATTTATATGGCACCCCTGTTCATATTGAATAAGACAAGGGAGTTTGTGAGGAATCACACTGAAAATATCATTGGGGCAGGTGATTGTAAACAGATTCCACCCATAAAGGACTTGACAAATGTTATGACACATGAAGAGTATTCAGACCATTGTATGGATTCCATTTTAAATATAGTATTTTCCTGAAGATATGTAAGAGAGTGGGAGGGGAGGGCACCGAAGAGGGAGAAAAGAACAGGGCAGTGCTGGATGATTTGTATGTTGACTATTGGTTAAAGAAGTTACCCATAAGAGACATCATTGAGAAATACTTCATTGACACCGATAACGTTATGACATCTGATAGGCGCATAGCATACACCAACTTGAGATGTAGAAGTGTAGCAAATAGGGTCAGGGAATTGTTAGGTAAAAAAGTAAGATTGAAATAGGTGAAGAGTTGATACGCCGTCTTTTATCTGGACAAGGATGATATGAAATTTAATGTGAATATACGTTATAAAGTTATAAATATAGACTCCTGCGTGAGTACAATTCAAAAAAACAAAAGACATATTGTGCTACTTGTCACAGTTGTCAAGGGGCGTCCATCAAATCAACAATCACCATCAACGAGTGGGAAAAACAAACTGGTCACTAGGGAGTGGTTATGGACATGCATCACTAGAGTAACCGATTTCAGGAATGTTTACTTTTTCAAGAACGATTCTGAAGATGATAGGATGCATGGTTTACTGTTAAGAAACTACTTGAAGAAAAACATAGATGGCTATAAGGTTCAGGACTTCAAGGCAGGAAGACACATCAATGCCAGGAACTGTGTGAACGTGCGCTGGTGCTAGAGAGGCTGGCTGGGTGCTGTCAGAAGTGCGGTGGATTTTTGAGATAGACGACAAAAGGGAAAATAAGTAGCACTTTTGCCGTGCAACGGGTTGACAATGCCTATTGCCATTCCAAAGATATCTGCGTGGCATACTGTGGATACTGCAACTAAAGCATCTCTACTTTAGATATATGTCATCTAAACAAAAAGTTTTCCCGATACATATTTTGACAGAAGTGGTTTTGGGCAAAAGGCTGTGACCTTGCAAGATGCCAGAAAGAGGGATAGGATTCTCTCCATGTCAGACGCAAACGAACTTTTCAAGAAGAACGTAGAAGTCAAAAAGAAACCCCGTGGTTACAACTCGTTCGTGGCACCTAATAATAATCACACGTATCAAATAGGTATATGTTTTCCAAGGATGATATAAAAGCACCACAGAAATTCAGGGGTGGTTTGGTCGCCATTGACGTTCTAAGTATATACGCGGCGGTAGTTCCTATTAAGAGTGAAGAAATTCCTGACGTCGTAGCAGGACATGGAGGCACTACAGAAGATGGGAAAGAAACGCCAAATCATATACACTGATGACGAAGGGGCGGTTACCAGCAACGACTCTAGGCAGTATGTTGAAGACGAAGGGATTGTTCTTTATAGGACTAGGGGTCACCCTGAATTTGCCGAGCGTGCCCGGGTATCTATGAGGTCAAGAAAAACGGGTTGTGGGTCCAACAAAAAATGCTGCGGGTCAAAGAAAACAGGACCGTGGGTCAGAAAAAAAGGGTTGGTGGTCAAAACAGAAGGATTGTGAGTCAAAAAGAAAGGGTTGCGGGGGTCAGAAAAAAGAACAGCAGGTCAAAGAGAAAGGGTTGCGGGGGTCAAAAAAGGGACCGTGGGTCAGAAAAAAGGGTTGGAAACAGAATGCTGGTGAGTCAAAAAAGAATGGTTCTGCGTCAAAAAAGAAGGGTGGTGGGTTAAAAAGAAGGGCTGTGGGTCAGAAAGAATGGTTATGGGTCAAAAAGAACAGGTCGGGGGTCAAATTGAACATTTTCGGGGATCAGAAAAGAAGGGTAGTGGGTTTAATGACAAGGATGGTGGGTGAAAAAAAGAACAGGTTGTGGATGAAAAGGTTGTGGCTCAAAACGAAAAGGTTACGGGATCAAACAAACGGCGCCGTGGGTCAAATGAAGAGAGAGGGATGCAGAATACGTCTTCCTCTCATACAGCGTGCCCGGGTGTCTACGAGGTCAAGAAAAACCGGTTCTGGGTCAAACTAAAAAGTGTTGCGAGGTCAAAGAAAACAGGACCGTGGGTCAGAAAAGAAGGTTTGTGGTCAAAGAAGGGTCGTGGGTCAAAAAGAAAGGGTTGCGGGACCGCGGGTCAGAAAAACAGGGTTGGTGGTCAAAAAAGAAGGGTCGTGGGTCAAAAAGAAAAGGTTGCGGGGGTCAGAAAAAAAGGACCGTGGGTCAAAGAGAAAGGGTTGCGGTGGGCAAAACAAAAGGACCGTGGGTCAGAAAAAAAAGAGGTTGGAAACAGAATGCTGGGGGGTCAAAAAAGAAGGGTTGTGGGTCAAAATGGAAGGGTGGTGGGTTAAAAAGATGGGCTGTGGGTGAGAAAAGAATTGTTGCGGGTCAAAAAGAACATGTCGGTGGTTGAATTAAACATTTCCGGGGGTCAGAAAAATGCGTGGGTCAAAAAAAGGGGTGCCCATTCAATTCATGACGTTGATCAGCTAAGCAGCTGCGCTTTCAAAACTGACTGAATCATGTGACACAGCTCAGCTCACTGACCTTGACCCATGGAAATGACATGGCTTCTTGGAAAAAGCAAAGCAGTCACGCAACCGAATATGTTTAAATTTCTCTATTTATATATAAATAACATGTGTTTTTGAAGGACTTGAATCACTTAAGCACCCACTGAAGGCTCCTTAGAAAAAGGTGGCAGCCAGCCCCATCAACATGCTGCACATGGCTGGCAGCAGTTGATCATGTTCGTTTGGTTTCCTGTTTTAGGTATGACAGTCCTCGTTTAGTTGTTTAGATGTTGAAGGCGTTTTAATAGGGATTTCAAACTCCAGCATTTCATGTCCACGCCGTGATCACTGCGTGACCCTTGAAAAGAGCGGCGTGATGACCGCGAAGGACAACGATGGTCCTCCCGGCCCCCCCAAAAAATCCATTCCAGATCACCAGAAGCCAGCAACCTCGACATCCATGACAGCAATCAAGCTGCACATGTTGCACATACAATCTATGCTACATACATATGGATGTCTGTGACTGTGCTTCAATTTCTTAGATGATCAAATGATCTAATCCTCCCTGATCCATTCCTTGCTTTTGTTTTAATGATCTCATGCATACTTGCCACGCATTGTTTGGCTATCCCAAAAAATAAAACCACATATTTTCACAGATAAATGCATATAGACAAATGTTTCACACTTTTTCACACGTTAGACATATTTTCACATATTTTCACCACCCTAATTGTCTGAAACCTATCTGATCTAGACCTCCCTGATCTAGCCCGCGATTCCGTGTTGGGGAAGTAATGTACCCCGCCAAAAGCGACTGCAAGCAACAAGAGAAAAATTGCGCGGGCTCTGTACCAAACACCCGATACGTACCATTAAACTACCAAGCGATCAATTTTCCTCGCGATGGCCGCCTAACAAGTAGTCAGCCAGGTTGGGCAGTATCCAGCACAAAAACACTCACGGCGCGATCAAAGTCTGCCAGGGCCTGCTGAAAAGACCTGCCCTATACAGCTGGGCGCTGGTGATATTTCTTGCGCAACAGTTCAACACCCCAAGACGTCCAACCCTGCTGACAAGCATCAGTGACTAGTTTCATCCTCTTCAGATTCGCTTGTCTGTCTGGAAGTCGCAGCGACAGTCCATAGCTGGCCATCAATGCGTTGAACTCTTGGGTCAGGTTCTCGTATCGTAAGACGTGGTTGCCTGGTTGGTCTAAACATCGCCAAAACGCATCAAGCGAGACAACAAGAACGGATTTTGTGAAAGTAAGTGGTGGCCTTTTCGCGGCTTAACTCGGAAGTGTGCTCTGCGGGCGCAGTCACGCGTATACCCTGTACAAAGTGATGCCTCTGAAAAGCGCATGGCGCTAATATGTTGGGCCCCTGTGAAGCCACATCAAGTTGACTGGACTCACAAGGGAACGTTTAACCGCAGGTGGCCGAGGGGGCGCGCGCGTTGGCAAAGGGCGAGGCGTGGGCAGCGGAGCCAGTTCGGTAGCGGTTGCTTTGTGGGCGCCCCCAAGTTGGATGGACGGGCCTACTTGTATAAGTATAGATTCGATGGCTGACTTAGATCTAGGAGATCAAAATTAAGAACCAATGTAGCAAACTTAGCAAATCCAACTTTACGCAGCAGTACTTGGCGTACTTACTATGTAGTCTTGGCGCGCATAAGTAGACATATAGCTTATTGGCTACGTTGACTGAAAGAATTTCTCTAAGCAGGCGAAGTTCAACGACAGCCTATTTGTAGGCGCAACGACTAGCGACTCGCCCCGTTCCATACTGACGCGGGCCAATTTAGCACACGCGCGACGGTCGAAAGACGAACACATTTTTGATCAGTTGGGAAATTTTGCAATCTTATCACTATCACATTGAAAAGCGGCTCGATATTAGCAAATATTCAACCAGTAAGTTAACACCATGAACACGAATGGTGACACCGAATGGTGAACACCGAACACCGAATGGTGACAAGCCAAGAAGTATAGCGGAAAGTGCATATTGCTGGGAGCCGTGCTGTATAACAACAGCGAGCTCCTGTTGCCACGCTGCCCCATTCTAATTCCTCATAGGTCCGAAGGAGAATCTCGGCATTATCTCTTGCAAGTTATTGAGCTCCAACCTGTTGACTTTCAGAGTTCACGCCTTCAACTTGAATCTCAGAACTGCACTTCGCCAAGGCCTTTTTCACTGCGTTCGGTTTCACGTAGATCTTTGTATGACGTGCGCATAGCGTCTCATCTCATTGTCGTACAGCTGACGCTTCAACACTCTGAGAAAAGCGTGTCAACCATTTACATATGAACGACCTTAGTCGTCTAAGATATCGACCTTAGGAAAACTGCGTCCGTTTTGTTCTTTGCTTCTTACTTAATCCTGTCTAGTCTCAACTCTCATGTGAACCTGACCGACGTACTTGGTTCAAGCCTGGTAAACCAACCGTTTGCTTGCGCGTGCCATAGCGCTTGTCACTTTCGTCCGAGCTCGTCCGGCGGGCTGCTCTCGGGACAGCGTCTTTCCAAACGAACCCCACGCGCGTCGCCCCCTTCTGCACGCGCGTCGCCTGTGTTTTGCCTGCATATCGCGGCATATTTCCATGGTTTCCGATGCATTTTGCCCCCAGTTTGCACCAACCACCGTTTACACAAAACCGCGGTTCACGCCAACCACCGTTTACACCAAACCATGGCATATACCAACCACCATTTACACCAAACCACGGTTTACGCCAAACCCCATTTGCACCACACCACGGTTTACTTCAACAACCACCATTTACACCAAACCACGGTTTACACAAACCGCCATTTACACCAAACCGCGTTTTACACCAACCACCGTTTGCACCAAACCACGGTTTACCACAACCACCTTTTACACCAAACCACGGTTTATACAAACCACCATTTACACCAAACCGCGTTTTACACCAACCACCGTTTGCACCAAACCACGGTTGACACCAACCAACCACCATTTACACCAAACCGCATTTTACACCAACCACCGTTTGCACCAAACCACGGTTGACACCAACCAACCACCATTTACACCAAACCACGGTTTACGCCAAACACCGCTTACACCCAACCACGGCCTACACCAGGCACCGCTTACACCAACCCACGTGCGCTCAGCCGGCAGGACTCAGCCGTGGAGGCCGGCGGCACACGCCAGCGGCGGTTACATGTAAACTATGACTTAATGCACTCCGCGATGACTGATAAACCAAAATGTCGGAATTTTGAGACCGTGCAAATTTTTTGGATACCTCATAGATACTTTGTCTTCTGCGAAGTCGTCAATGACTAGCAACTAGAAGACAACTAAACAGCTTAGTAATCTTTCACGGCTTCGTACTCATCAAACAAAATCGGTTCTTTATCACCATTTACATGTAGTTCATGTTCAACATCATTGCTTTCTTCCTTATACGCTGCATCAGTATGCGCTGGCGGGCTCACTGAATATATTCCTTCAAAGCGTCCACGGTATATATTCAGGTAAAAGGCTCTGAACTGCTAGGCAACTTATCTGCGTTCATACTCTGGCTGTTTAAACTCAGCCTGCTTCACATTGATAGGTTCAATCCTACGCGCGCGTAATTTTCATCTATCAAAACTTACAAACGTTTTCTAGTATATTCTCCATTTTGAGGAGAACTCTGAAAGGACAGCGGGGTAGAGGTCGCTAATCCGCATAAGTCGAACATTTGTGTGCGCTGCAGCTGACAAACCCAGCCACGTATGAGAGTTAAAACGCTAAAACAAATACTGCGCCCCCCAACCACTACGATAAGATTTTGCTTTGCAACGTCTAACTATGTGTGACTTAGAACCCTAAATACATATAAAGCGCGACGCTTTCGGAACACCCTGCTTACAAAACAGCTGCGTGCGAGGTGGAAAACTATCCACGACAATATTTGGCTGCAAGCGCGTAGATCGATAGTTCGGACAAAGACTCTTTTTCTCCGAAGTCTTTAGATCATTCGAGTCTGATGTGCTTTGGTTGAGGTGGCCCGGTCACAGTGGCCCACGCCACGTGTACCAACAGGCACATGGTATAAGATTCCTACTCTGGGCATCGGCTATTGTTTCTAATCAATAACATCAGCTGGGCTACCAAGAATGACTCTCACTTTTTTTGACTCTCAAATCTTGAATTGGATATTTTAAGTTTGGTCGCTGGCTTCATTGGCTTTCCACATGTCCGACCTGCGGCTTCATTGTGCTGAGCTGAAACCTTTGAAACTTTCCGCCAACATATGATTGAACATTAATTGAGTAATTTACTTAATATTGCACTCAGAAAATGTCTTATGCTTGGCGCTGAACAAGTGTCTTGGCACTATGTGTTTTTGGAAATGGACCTTTTGAAGGATAAACCGGACCTACAGGATATATTTCCGAAAGCTTCAATCGTCCGACCTATAAGCCCCCTAACCCTTTGCGTCCAACGTGCGCAATCATCATCCGTCCGACGTGTCACCAAGTCCTTCCAGGCAAATGACTGTCCGAAATCAAAGCCAATTAGAAAGTTCGAAGTGCACAAAGCGACAAACGTAAAACGCGTTCACATCACTCATTCGCTGGTTGCGCCCCTTAAGTTCTGCTCCAACGCGGGAGCTCATCAGTCGAGTCTCCGCATATGGATCCTGAATCATCAGCTGATCTTCACCATCGCCGCGTCATCAGAAGCGTCACTCTCCAAGCATCGAAGCTGAAAGCCAACTTGCTGAAATCTGATCTCGTCTGCGCCAGGGCCTCGTGCTGAAATCCATGAGATTGAGAACATACATGAGAGCAACAATGAGATTGAGAACATAAAGCAACACATGAGAGCCAATAGTGAGCTGAGCAGCCCAAAACAAAGAACGGCTTGTGCATCCAAGGGTGGATGCGATGCAATCGGCCACCAATTGGAGCGGTCGCCTCATACAACTCCTGCCAATGGACAGGCAAACTACGAGACACGCGTAGTGTTCAAAAACACATGAATGGTATTTTCAGCGACGCCCAACCTCAACACGCATAGCGTTCAAAACTTTAAGCGCCATCTCCGCCGTCTCACACTCCGCTTTCGCGTTCTGAATTTCGTCTTCCATGTGGAGTTGCGTCTTCTCCCCAAAAAACCCAGAGACATTGAGAACTGCTAACCGGATGACCGCTGACAAGCCACATCAAAAACGCACTGTGATGGACTTTGCTCAGAGGAACTTGGGGTCTATCAGGGCCATCCCTAGGATCAGTAGTGGGCCAAGTGAAACCATGATGAACCACGCAACATGAAGCTGAGGCACAGGTTCATTCCTTCGACGCAATCCAAACGCTTGGACAGGTCTTTCACTATGCTGTCAAGCCTTAGCCATGCGTCTGGGGAACTATTAACGTCGCAAAAAATTCAAGAGCTGAGGTTTGGGCATCTCCATCCTCTCCCATACAGCACAAGCTAGTGAGCTGGCCCACCAGGAGTTCGAACATAAAGGCTTCAGCCTTTTCACAAGGATCCTCGCTCCTCTGCGTTGACATGTTGCAGGTCTTTTCCCAGAGGATCATTTCGCAGGGCTTTGGAGAAGAAATCTGGAATGAGGGGTTTTGTATCAGGAATGGCCATTTCGTATTCAAAACCCCCCAGCAAGAGTCTCATGTTAGCATGTTTTGGCTTTGTTGATTGTATATGTTTTTTCATGTTGTTCATGTCCATGTTGAAGGCTTCATGTCCAACCTCATGCGCACGTGCCAACATGGTGCTCATATGAGTGTTCGTGGCATCAAAACGACATTCATGTTTAAACCATGTTGTTTTTCCTTTTGTAAATAATTGTATGTGCTATGTTGTCACGCACCATGTCGCTTCTTGTGGCTCGAGTTCTCTGCGCGTTTGGCTTTGGCTCTTGCCTAGACCTGAGAGAGAATACTTTTTTGGCATTGTTTTTGGGTTTGTTTTGGTGGAGGCAGGTTGTAGAACGGACGCTGCATTAGCTTGGCTCAAGTTGCACACCTTTATAGCAGAGCCGCTATAGCTTGAATGCGTGGGACGCCGAAGGCGCACTTAATTGGCCAGAGTGTGGCGCAGACGACAGTTAATGTTTCTTAAATTTAAATTCCGCTGCCAGGTCATCGTTGTGAAGAACCTCGCGACCGCAAAGCCTGCTGCAGTGAAGCGCGGGTATATGTGAGTTGTACATATATATAT